TAAAATCAGATGTAACCGTAAATAGAAATAAAGGAATGCAATTTACCCTTTGGATTTACTTTATGCATACTTCGAGACTTTTCGATAAGAAAAACGAAATTTCTTTTCGTATCGGGAGTGAAGCAACTCTAACGATTAAAATAAAACTTTCGAAAAATACTTCCTGACTGCTCTTTAATTAACAGTCTTTCATTGAAGGCCGCTATTAAGTCAGAAGGAATTTTTGAGCCATAAAGTTAGTGTATTTTCAGTCAACCAACGAAGACAAGACAGTTTGAACTAAGTCGTTCATTACAACTACTGTGTTGAGAAACGTAGAAAATTGAACCTCTTTTTACAAACCGTGCCTCGAAGAAGGATGAATTTGTAGAACGACTATAAAATGCTCTGTTTTTATTTTGTCTTCTTTATCTGAGGTTAAAATGGTTTGCAAAGGAGATTTATGATGCCTGACCGTTGGAAATGCTGCTACATACTGATAATAGGCAACCCTACACTCTGCTAGCTGTAACTATCACCGGCCCTAAGTTTGATGCGTGGTCAAATCGCTAATCTAATGGCGGTTATCCCACCTCATTCCTTGTTCTACTCATTACCGTCCGTAGCATTTTTATGAACTACTTTTTAAAACTTGTAAAATTCTGTTTTGATGCTGAGATTAATTTTCAGTTGCTCAGCGATTAATGTTCAGTAATATCTTTTCAGAGTGAAGCAGTTTTTCTCATCCTAATCTTTCCGATTCAAACCAACCGCACTTGCGGTCACATCTGGTCGTATTACTTGTTCTGTAGTTTTGTCGGAAAGCTTGTAAATGATTTAATAATATGCTTGTGATATACGTGTTCTCTCTCAGTTATAATAATTTCTAGAAATAATCCGATGTTGATTACAGATTTGTCGGAATTTTCAAAGACAACATTTCTTTCAACATTGCCGTTGCTGATCCCAAGCCCGGATGAAAAACGAAGTGGGTTGAAGACCGTGGCGAGGTCCCAGAAAATTTTGCTCTCTTTCCCTCATGTTTTTGCCATTATCGAACGCTATGCGTCCTCGTTCGCCGCCCCTGTTATCCCAACGGTCGCGTAGGCAGTGGGAGAGAGGAGGGGGACTGAGGCAGAAGTCGGCGATTGGAACTTGCTTCAGCCCTTCTAGTAGCTGGTATAGCAGAATGGCGACGAGGCGTTAATGAAGACACCAGTCAGCAAAGGAGCCGCTGACGGTTCTGAACAAAGGCAGACGGCACAGTGCCATTACAGCTAGTCAGATAAAGTTTCACGGAAACGATTCTGAAGTGGAAGCTTACAGTCTTTAATTGGACCATCTTCTCACACACAGGGAATGCGAAGGAGCTAGTTGATGACACTACAACGTTTGGACTGGAAATAGTTGAACTCTCGTCAGAGCTGTACAATTCCTAACTCATGGGGGAGATATTCTACTTAGCTGTTAACTACTGATCCGTCCCAAGCCTTTAATCATTAAATAGAAGCATATTAGCGGAAGAGTGGCAATCTTCCGACTGGAATTGCAACAGTCGAACGCTTCGACCTTGTTACAGGCCTTTGCGCCCAGTTCAGTCGATGAAAGCGAGTTCTTGTTAGAAATAGTGGGAGGTACTCTCAATTAAGTGCCGACTGCGGAAACAGTCTTTATGATGGGCGGTTTTAATGCGTATGTTGGAGCAGACACTGGGAACTGGAACGACGTGATTGAAAAAAACGGCCGTAGCCACCTCAACAATTACGAGATGAAGTTGCTACGGTTTTGTGCAAACAACAGACTGTCTATTATGAATACTGTCTTCGGGTATCGAAGAGTACATCAGTATACCTGGCACGGCGAAACTTTTGCATAGAAGTCGATGATCGATGCTGTCAACCATCACCACCTTGTTGTTGGTACGCTACATTGTAAGAAATAGAGTACCGTACGAAAGTCTGGTGGCAGAAGCAGTCAGAGAATCAAATGGAACCATCTTCTACAAATACGGGGGAGAAGCCTGCAGTCGACACGTTAGGACGGTTTGACCAGATCTCCATGATGGTCACTGATGTGGAAACCAAGTGGCAGCTCTTTGAGAGCGGCATACTCGAGGCTGCCGCCGAATGGTGCGGATTGAAACGGATTGGCCTGCCGCTTGGAAGTCAGGAAAGAATTTCCTGGTGGAACGAGAGGTACAACTGACAGTTAAAGAGAACAAATCAACGTTCAAGAAATGGCTTGGAAACCAAAGGCCTTCTACTCGCGTGCGATATTTCCAGACATGCAAGGCGGCAGCGAAAGCAGTGGTGAAAGCCAAAGCTGATTCGTGGGAGAAGCTCGGTGAGGTATTGTAGTCGAATTTTCACACGGCAAACAAGGTATTTTCGCAGCCCATCTGCCTTCTGAAGGACAAGTCAGAACGCCTTCTTACCAAAGAAGAATATACTTTCATGATGGCGAGGGTAACTTAAGGAACTTCTTACCTCTGAGCAACCACAGGTAGACTCGCATGAAGGGCAGTAGGCAAATGATATTTGTCTTTCAGTAGGTAAAGTGGTAGCAGTTATAAGAAGCTGAAAAGTAGCGAGGCTGCTCGAATCGATAAAATCTGCCCTCAGACGCGTAAAGCTTTAGACAAACAACACAACTGAAATGACTACTGAGAATACACCGGTGGACCAGAGAACTAGTATAGTATTACCACTGTTCTGGAAGGCAGATAACAGGGTGTTGTGTAATTATCAGTGCTTCACCTTATTGAGCCTCTCGGAAAAATGTGCACAGAAGTGTTGGAAAAAAAATGTCGCGGTATAATTGAGTCTAAGGTACAAAAAGAGCAGCGGATCTTGAGGTCTAGCCAACGCTTCTCTGACCATATCTTCGTCTGACGCCAGATTGTAGAGAAATCGTGGGAGTTCGCCCATCGTGAGTACGTGTGCTTTGCCGGCCTGGAGAATTGCTATCACCGGATCCGCGTATCAGTCAGTGGGAATGCTAGAGAGTATGTTGGATCCCTGGCCAGATGCTAAGGGTCATCCAGTTTCTATCTGTTGATAGTAGGGGGAACGTCATAGTAAATGGACTTTAGTCGAGGCGTTGCACTTCTGCACTTGTTTTTCGGTGTAGGATATGTAGTGACGAGAAATTTGCTGTTTGCTGACAAGCTTGTTTTGTTGACATGTTTCGAAGCTATTCTCCATCTTTCTCTGGAGAGGTTCTCAGCCGAATGCGACGTGACCCGTAGGTATTTGAGCGTGTTTAAAACCAAAAGCAAAATGCTTTTATGTTTTTCAGCTCGTTGCGTTCCGCAGCTAAGCATTAGACCAGGAAAAGAAATTCGCGTACCTCGGGGTTCGTGTTTACCGGTGATATAAAATTAAAGGAAGAGATCGATCGGCGAATTGGAATGGAACTGTTAGCCCGAACTGTTACATGAATCATCCCGATGGTCACTTACGGTCATGGGTCTTGTGCCTTGAATGAAAGACTGCGATCCCTGGTAGAAGCTGCTGAATTGGACTTAGCGAGGCATGATTAACAAAAAACCCCATATTTAATGTCGGACCTTTGGAGAAGGCTGATTAGTATTACACGATGTTGGATGTTATTGCAAGTGTCATACTCATCGTCACTAGCAGGTATACTGAAGTTTGTCTTTTAGGAGATACCCGGACCAAAAAAGTATTTAAACACGTCCAATGGACTCTATCGGGCAGAATCGGGCAGCTGTGTCTGAGCTGTTCTGACACAAGAATCGCTGATACCATCAGACTTTGAAGACACTTCGCAGTCACGCTGCTTGAACCTGTCGAAACGAGCTTATTGACGTTTCAGAATCGGAAACTTTTCCAGTCTGCGTATGAATACTATGAATGCTGCAGTTTTCAGAAATCTTCGTAGTCGTTCTTCTAGCTATCTTTATGTGCTTCTTTACTTCATACATCTTGTCGAAATTTGATCTTGCAAATCCAGTACACCCTTTAATTTCAACATTAATATTGTCATAATTTGCAAGACTGTTCGAAGATAACTGAAATGGCCAATCTCGCCGTCACTATATTGATCCGTTGTTTCCTCGGGCTCTATGTTGCTTTCTTGCTGTTGATGTGTAGTTTTACTCCTATACCCTTACAACTGCTTTTGGTGTATTTGTTTTTTATTTTGTGATCGTGGTCTATGACTAACAGAGTTTAAACTGTTTAGATATCCTAATTTATGCCTGGTGGTTAGAAATGGCTGCTTTTGATGAGTATCAATAGAACATTCGAGGAAGAACGATTTCGTATGGCAGAAAACACAAATTCTTTTGAGTTCTTTTCATGACTGGCTGAACAACGCAAGTATCTGATTAAACTTAGAATTTTGTTTACGTGGTGTATTTTGTCATAGGAACGCAGGTGAGGAACCCTGCCATTGTTCAAGGAAAATAGTGATGTTTGAACGACAGCCAACAGAATCAAAAGTTACTGTTAGTTGGAGTGAGCGAAACGGCACAAGGAATTATTGAAACTGCTTTTTGCGTTTCCGTAGGTTCCGGACCAAGGAAAAATTCTGACGGTAATCAAGAGGAAGAATATGTCATTGTTTCCTTCAGTGAGTATGAAATTCGGGTGACCGTTTTCACAATATCGCGACAGCTCTGACATGTGGAGCTTCATTATGTATAGCTTTGTTTACCGGCATGACAACTTTTCACGGTCCTTCGTAAAGCTATGGCCTGAAAGTATGTGTTTTGTGAGCTGTAAG